AGGCTGAAGTGCAGTGGCACGCTCATGGCCACCACAGCCTTGACCTGTTGGGCTCAGGTGTTCCATTTGCCTCAGCCTTCAAAGTAGCTGGAACTACAGGCGCGTGTCACCACGCCCAGCTAATTTTTTGATTTTTATTATAGAGATGAGGTCTTGCCAAGTTGTCCAGGCTGGTCACAAACCCTTGAGCTCAGGCAATCCTCTCACCTCGGCTTCCCAAAGTGTTGAGATTATAGGCGTGAGACACTGCGCCTGACTGATTTTTTTTTTCAAAGAGGAACTTTAACAAGCCAGAGTGAGGCCAAAGGATGTGGCAGGTTGAGTGGATGTGGGCTAAAAACTGCATAAGGTCTAGTCCAGTTGAAGAAACTGGGAGGTATTTCTTGGGGAAAAAAAGTCCCAGAAAATGCAGCCTCTCTCATTGCATCCCTGTGGGCTGACCTGGGGCCAGAGGACAGGAATGATCTGGGCAGTTCCAGACCTGAGAGAGAGAGAGCCCAGCGACAAATGTAAGCTAGGAGGAAGACCTTGGTGACACTCAGGCAGGAGACCCGGAGTATCCCTGGGATTCCTGTGCCAGAGAGTTGTAAGCAGGGCCTCTCCCTTCATGGCCTGGAGCAGAACGACCCCACATCTCCTCTCCAGCCCTGCCTGGGGACACTGTTTGGTGCCTTCTGAAGCTCAGTGTTCCCTCTGCCACTGGCATGTCTCTGAACTGGCACCTCACAGGCAGTGAGCAAGCATTGGTGTTCACCTGTGGTCAGTTCCAAGTTGTGGTTTTCAGTGGGTTCTCTGAGGCCAGCGTTGTCCACACCCATTGGCCTACTGAGGACAGCAGCACTGGCTGCTCAGAGCTTGGAAAGAACCAACTCCCAACATACTCGCAGGTGCCCTGGGGGCTATGCAGCAAGTGCTCACAGAGTACCCACTTTGTGCTGAGCTCTGGGGATCCCAGACAGCTCTGAGGCACTGTCTAGAGTTGACCAGATGGCTCACAGTGAGTGATGCCTTTTCCATTACAGTTTTGCCCCCTAGTTTGGTCTGATGATGTCCTCCTTGTGCCTAACTTTTTTCCCATCAAACCTGCACTCAAACCCTAGCCCCCTGGCTTGGCTGATGGGACATTTACCATCAGGCCTGGCCCTCCTCTGCTTCTCGCCTCCAGAATCTGTCCTCCTACACCTCATAGCCACGCTGCTCCCACTGCCTGCCTTGGTCCACCCCTTAGTCATGTCATCAGTGACACTTGCCCTGTGACACCTGGCTGCAGCTCCCCTTCCCTCAGGGAGCCTTCTGTGACACCCCTGGTGGAGTTGAGTGTGCCTGCTGGGACTCCACTAATTTTCCACTTAGTGCCCCAGTGCCTAGTGCAGGATGTGGCACAGGGGTAATGCCCATCAGAAAAGGAGGGGAAATGCACAGGCAGGCCCTGAGGACAGGGTGGGCATGCCATCAGCTGGGTCTGTAAGGCCAGCCTGGGATGGGGGGTGGGTGGGGCATGGTGGAGGTGGGCAGTGCCACCCCGTGGGTGCTGGCCTTCCCATTTCTCTCAAGATGCTTTTGGATGAACAGATGGTTGGGGTTGGGTTTAGGCAGATGTTTGGGGCTTAGGGATTTAGGTGGTCACATTGGGTCAGGTTGGGGTTGTACTGGGACCCCTCCAGGCACCCACATCCAGACAAGGCCTCTGAGATTCCTGAGAGGTTGGTTGGCAGCAGCATGGAATGGGAATGGCAGAGGGTTAGAGTGTAGGCAGAGATAAATGATAGATACAGAGAGAGGTTTGGCCAGCGATGGACTGGGGAGGCCAAGCAAGGGGGTGCCCCCTGAGCCGATGCTTCTGGGCTCCTGGCATGTTGGGCAGAGATGTTCTTTGTGTCCAGCTGGACTCCGCTCATGAGGGTAGGCCTCTGTGGGCACCGAGACCTCCACATTCTTCCTGGTGCTCAAGAATGCCAGGCACCGTCTAAGCTCTTTACACATGAGGCGTTTCTACATACGTCCATTGACACGTCCACATTTGGTCCTCACAGGAGCCCTGTGAGGTACGCACTATAGGTCACAACCCCTGAGCCACTTTCCAAACCCCTAAATTTCTGAAAGCACAAAAGTATTTCTTTTTTAAATTTGTCTTTCTATTTTTTGAGGTGAGGTCTCACTGTCACCCAGGCTGGAGTGCAGTGGCATGATCATTTCTGGCTCTCCACAATCTTGACCTCCTGGGCTCAGGGGATCCTTCCACCTCAGCCTTCTGAGTAGCTGGGACTACAGGCACGTGTCATCACGCCTGGCTAATTTTTAAAATTTTTTGTAGAGATAAGTTCTTGCCATGTTGCTTAGGCTGGTCTTGAACTCCTGAGCTCAAGCAATCCTCCCTCCTCAGCCTCCCAAAGTGCTGGGATTACAGGTGTGAGCTACCTTGCCTGGCTTCCAAAATTGTTTCTAAGTTTGACGCTGAAGTTGTTTATTGGCGAGCCTGACCTAAACAGATGTGGGGCTGTTTATGCCTTATGTAGCCTCTCAGTGAGAATTGTTTCCCTGCAGAGGGTTTTTTTTTTTTTTAGTTGGAGTCTTGCTCCATCACTCAGGCTGGTGTGCAGTGGCACACTCATGGGCACCCCAGCATCAACCTGCTGGGCTCTGGCAATCTTTTCACCTCAGTCTTCCAAGTACCTGGAACTACAGGTGTACACTAACACGCCTGGCTAATTTTTTATTTATTGTAGAGACAAGGTCTCACCAAGTTGCCCGGGCTGGTCTCGAACTTGCGGTCTCAGGCAAAATGCTGGGATTATGGGCTGAGCCACCTAGCCTGGTCCCTGCAGAGAGGTATTAATGGTTTTGATAACAGTGCGCAGATCCTGCAGAGCGCGCTACAGATTATATGGAGCATGAACCATATTGCCTTTCTACAATTCACAGCTTCTAAGTTCCAAAGCGTGCTTGGTCCTAGGGCTTTATTATTATTCTAACAGACGGAGAAACAGATACCTTAAGTAACCTGCCCAGAGCCACCAGCTGGGTCTGTAAGGCTAGCCTAGGGTAGAGGGTGGTTGGGGCATGGTGGGGGTAGGCAGTGCCACCCCCTGGTTGCTGGCCTTCCCATCTCTCTCAGGATGCCCCTGGACAGGCAGATAGATGGTTGGGTTTGCGTTTGGATTGGTGTTTGGGGTCAGGGGTTTGGGAGGTCAGTTGGGAGGGGCTGCTCACTCTCTGTCCTTTCCCCAGATGGTGTGGTCCTGGTGGATCCTGAGTATCTCAAAGAGAGGAGAGGTAGGCTGTAGCCCCCAACCCCTACCTGTCAGGGTGCTGCCTCTTCCCCTACGGACCTTCAGCATAGGGTTTCTGCCCATCCTTGCTTCTCCTGAAAGCCCCATGAACACCACAGTAGGTCCCCTTGTCTCCGCCAGCCTGGACAGCCTTGCACCCACCCACTCACGTTGGGAGAATGTTTTTTTATTTTTATTTATGTATTTTTTTTTTGAGTTGGAGTCTCACTCTGTCGCCCAGACTGGAGTGCAGTGGCCGCTCCCGGCCACCGCAGCCTCGACCTGCTGGGCTCCGGCGATCCTTCCGCCTCAGCCTTCCAAGGAGCTGGAACTACAGGCGCACGCTACCACGCCCGGCTCATTTTTTGATTTATTGTAGAGATGAGGTCTCGCTGCCCAGGCGGGTCTCGAACCCGTGGGCTCAGGCAATCCACTCACCTCAGCCTCCCAAAGGTGTGGGATTACAGGCTGAGCCACGGAGCCCGGCTTATTTATGTATTTTTGAGTTGGAGTCTTGCTCTGTTGCCCAGGCTGGAGAGTGCAATGGTACACTCACGGCCACCACAGTCTCGACCTGCTGGGCTCAGGTGATCCTTGATCAGCCTTCCAAAGTCTCACCATGTTGCCCAGGCTGGCCTCGAACCTGTGAGCTCTGGTAATCCTCTTGCCTCTGCCTTCCAAAGTGCTGGGATTACAGACATGAGCCACTGCACTTGGCCAGAGAGAACGTTTTCTTTTTTTGTTTTTTGTTTTTTTTGAGTTGGAGTCTCACTCCATTGCTCAGGCTGGAGTGCAGTGGCACACACGCTCATGGCCACCCCAGCACTGACCTGCTGTGCTCCGGCAATCCTTCTGCCTCAACCTTCCAAGTAGCTGAAACTTTAAGTGTGTACAACCACATGCAGCTAATTTTTTATTTATTGTAGAGACGCGGTCTTGCCAAGTTGCCCAGGCTGGTCTTGAACCTGCGGGCTCAGGCAGTCCACTCGCCTCAGCCTCCCAAAGTGCTGGGATTACAGGTTGAGTCACCGAGCCCGGCTGAGAACGTTTTCAATGACCCAGCACATCCACATCAGTGTGTCATGACTGTGGCAAGGCTGGGGATGCCGTCAGAGAGGAGTTTTAGGGTCTTCTTTTACAGAAGAGACAATGGATACCGAGGAGGTGAAGGACTTGTCCAAGGTCAGCAGGAAGACAGGAGCGGGGGAGCTAGGCTGAGACAAGACCCATGCCTCCAGACATCACTTAGCACCTGTCTCCCCCAGCCCTGCCATCACCCTGCTCCTACCTAGGACTCTAACCCACCTCAGATGACTGTAGCCCCCACCATGCCTGTCCGGCATTTCCATGCCCCTCCACACGTGTGCCCTGGCAGAGTGGGAGGCAAAGAAGGTCAGAACTGCCCAGCAGACAGCTCCCACCACCCCCCAGGGGCCAGGCCATGGGCAGCTCTTCTAGGTACTCAGTCCCGAAGCCTCCAAGGGGAGACAGCACAGCTGTGCCCAAGGAGCTTGGGACAGGCATGTGGCCTCCAGGGGGACCAAGCCCAGGGCTGTGGCTGATGCTGGGGGAGTCGTTTGCTGCTCTGCCAGACCCTCAGTGCCCCCTGCTCCCCACAGTCTATGTGACACTGACCTGCGCCTTCCGCTATGGCCGGGAGGATCTGGATGTCCTGGGCCTGACCTTTCGCAAGGACCTGTTTGTGGCCAACGTGCAGTCCTTCCCGCCGGCCCCCGAGGACAAGAAGCCCCTGACGCGGCTGCAGGAGCGCCTCATCAAGAAGCTGGGGGAGCACGCCTACCCCTTCACCTTTGAGGTCAGGGACTGCCGGTCCCGGGGCCCCATTCTAGGAGTGCCACCTCTAAAAGGCCCTCTGGGGGGGCACATGGGGACAGTGAGGGTCAGCTGCTCCATGTCACCCTGTTGCCCATGTACTTTGGGACCTGGGGCACTGTCACCCTACCTGGGAAGTGTCTTTTCTCTGCCACTGCTTTGAGTGTCACCCCTTCTTCTGGGCTTATCAACCTGGGGCCCTCCTGAGTCCAGGTCATTGGAGGCAGAACAGAGGGCCATGGGGGTGGCTGTAGAGAAAGAAGGAGCCGTTTCTGGTCCCTGGGTCGCTACAAGGTGGCTCCCCCAGATCAGCTCCCCACCTGCCCGGCCTCACCCCAGTTCACAAACGAGGGATGGCAAGTAGTGATTCCTCTGCTCTGCCACCTTTCAAATTGAGACTCCAAGACTATGCCAGATTTCAAAATTTTATTTCATTTTATTATTCGAGTTGAGGTGTCAGTTTGTTTTCCAGGCTGGAGTGCAGTGGCACAATCATGGCTCACCGCAGCATCAACCTCCTGGGTTCAGGCGATCTTTCTGTCTCAGCCTCCTGAGGAACTAGGAAGACAGGTGTGCACCACCACGCCTGGTTAATGTTTTGATTTTTTTTTTTTTTGTAAAGGTCTTTTTGTGGTGTCTGGATGGTCTCAGAACTCCTGGGCTCAAGTGATTCTTTCGCCTTGGTTTCCCAAAGTGCTGGGATTACCGGCGTGAGCCCTGGAGCCCAGCCTAAAACTTCATGGTCCTTAGATTCTCCGATTCTCTGAATCGATCTGATTCCTTTGATTCAGTGCAGTTCCCCGCTTTGTGTGCAGGCCAGAGAGTGGAGAGCGGATATGGAGTCATCCTTTCCATGTGAATGTATTCATTACTGCAGACTAGGTGGCAAACACACCGATCAAAACAGCACCAAATGACGATCTTACAGTTCTGGAGGTCGGAAATCCCAAAGTGGGTCTCTCTGGGCTAGAATCGAGGTGCTGACAGGGCTGTGTCCCTTCTGAAGGCCTCAGGAAAGCTGGCTTCCTGGCCTTGACCAGTGTCACATTTCTTGGTTTATAGTCCCTTCGTCCCTCTTCAAAGCCAGCTGTGAGTTTTTTCCATATTTCATCCCTGGCTCAGATGCTTCTGTTTCCTGCTTCCATTTTTTTTTTTTTTTTGAGTTGGAGTCTCACTCTGTCGCCTAGACTGGAGTGC